TTCATCCAACAGATTTTCAGTGGGATTTAATTCAAGGCTTTGTGCAGGCCAATCAGTAACGTTCACTTTGGTCTTCTGAAGGTAATTCTTCACCAGCGTCTTGTTGGAAGAGGAAACAATGACCCAGACCCAATTTTGCTGCTGACTGCTCTATTTTACATCCACCATTGTGTATCACAGTGTTTTAATATATTCACTGGTCATTTCATTAGGTATAAAATGATATAATGCTGGTACAGGGTTTGACACTCTTCCTATAAGCTAATCTTTAAGTGACCCACCCTGACTGGTAAGTTCCCAGACATGTAAAATCACCAGGGTTTTTCTTAGAAGATAAAGTTTTCCAGACCAGAGAACAGTGATCAAGAAGGAAATAAGTGGTGCCTTAGTTTATAGTTAGTTATCACTCCTTAAGTTACATCTTGCTAGTACTGGGTTGGACCTCCTTTTGCCTCCAGAGCTGCTTTAATTCTTCCCAGCATAGAATGATATAAGATTATAGGGTTATAGGATATTAATTTATAAATCCGTCTTTTAATTTTTCAAAATATATATGCGTATATGTTTTATGCTCACAATATATAATATACCCCACAATATATTATTTGCAGTCATGTTTTAAGACATCATTAGTAGGTTGGATGGTTGAAATTTGTTTTGAAAAGTGGAAGCTAACCCAAATATAAAAATAAAAAGAATTTCTAAATTACAAAAATGGTTTTATTTGTCCAAATTTTCAAGCTCTGAGCCTCGAGGATTTCGCTCGCACTGACCCAGTGACTGGGTCTTTTGCTTTTTGTCAACAGAAGTAGTCTGGAGAAAAAATTCCCATTTGGATATGCCAGGTTTCCCATGAGCCAGGATATTTTAATGTTTTTTACAGCAGTGAACAAATGGGTGAACAGTACAGAAAAGAGGTCTCATGTATGAAAACTATGTCAACAGTTGTAGCTCTGCCAGCATTTAGCACCTGTTTGGAACACCGCCCCTTTAAGCATTAACACTTGTGTTGTATTACACTCGAGCGGAACATTATCCCTCATTACAAGCTCCTCTAACACCGTGAACAAAAGAACAAAACACTGGCCTGACTGTAATGACACTGCCTGCTAGGTGTCATTTGGCTCTAATGGTTTCCTCTGTTGTCTACGACTACAGCACTTGTTATTTATACTTTCCACAGTGCAGCTAGAACAGGTTGCCGTTGCCATCTTTCAGGGTTACATTTAATTGTGCACATTTTCTTCATATTGTCCATCAGACTATATTTTATTATAGTGTTTGGCAACCCGAATGGTGGCTACTACAAATATTTATACACAAGGCTTTTTGAGTGCAACTTGTTCATGTGTGGCTTGGACACTAAAATAATTCAAAGTAGACATAATGACTGGAAAGTGACTCATTCTGTTTACTCTTCAGATCTTGATATTGCATAACTGGCTTAGTAGAAAAATTACTAGTTGCCAGTTTTTTAAATATATGGTGATTTATATACATTTGTTAGTTCAAAGGACAAATAGAGGGGACAAAAACGCCTTCATTACTTCATGCTTTGACATGTCGTCCTCATTTTGGGCTCCATAGTCTTATGTTTGTACTCTGCTACAGTAGCTTTGGTTAATTCACATTCAAGTAATCCTTACTTCTTCTATACTGGGCCTCGGTGCAGACTATCAGTTCATCCTCTGTCTGAAACAAGCTATTTTAGCTCGTCTTGCTTAAAGGGCACCTCTACTTTAACCCAACTTTGTTTCTGATTGGATGCCTCTTGCAAACAGAACGTTTGAACAGTAGATAGGTGCACTTCACAGCGAGACCTATAACCATTATAAAGGACATCTCTTCTCTTTGACATCTCATCTCCAAAGCAAAACAGTGGAACTACACATGTCTGCCTCTAACATTCTAATCAAAGCAGCTCTGAGCATTTCTGCTGTAGGGCATGATTTTTCACACAGAATCGCATAATGGTATTTATGGATGAATACGACACTTAAAAAAAAAATGAAAAAACGGAATCTGTAAGTTGGCGTATGCCCTGTAGCTTTTGAACGAGGTTGCACTGACTCAAAGTTCAGGAGAGGAAGGGCTGTGAAATGTGAGATAACAGGAGTGGATCGGATAGCGGCCACACACATTAGTTAAACATCTCCCTTCTCATGTTCTCCAATCCCCACATCCTCGTCCTCATTACTGTCTTCTCTGGATATTTCCCAAATTTTTAATAGTCTTTCCTTTCTTTTCCAACATACACTTCAGCTCTAAACTCGCTGCTTATTCTTCCATGCTATTTTGCTTGTGTTGTAAGATCTTTTGACACCCCCCACCACTTTGATCCATCTTCTTTTCATCACTCCCTGTCAGTCCCACCTTCCTTTTATCCCGGTACTATAGGTATTGTACTATCTTGTCTCTCTTGTGTTTATTGTTTCTTCTCGTCATTTGATAACATCAGATTCTGTTCATCTTTTATTATTTCTTTAAGAACCAAGGCCCAGAGCTCAATTGCTCCTGTCTTAGGTAAAAAGAAAAAAAAGATTAAAACAAGATTTATATGAAAGCATTCTGGGATCAAATTGCAAATCAGAATGTTTTTCTAAACTTTCTGAAGGTTGGACAGACTTAAAAAAGTATGCTGTTGTCTTCTAAACTCATTAACAAAGGAATGGGGTAATTTTTTTTCTCCTTTTTTCATTACAGAATACAGTACACTGTAAAAATGCATTTATTAACAATAAAAATAAGACAATTTGAGCACACATACTCTAGAAAGTATAGCTGCATGTTTGTTTTTGAGGTGCGCAATTTTGGTTTAATTCAGCTGAGAGGAGGAACGAGCTCTAACCATGACAAGAAAATGCTTTCGCGTAGCTTCAATCAGGAAACAGTCAAATGAGCTACTTGTACAAAGGCAGAAAAACCTTTAAAGCTTTCCTTGGGGAGTTTTTGATGACTTGAAAACACAACAGCGTGATGTTTATGAGAACAGGTCTGCATTCTGTTTGTGTCGTGCACACAAGCACGACACAGACAGATGCCGTACAGCTTCCTACATATTTAAGATGCTCTGCTGATCAGTGGGAGTAACAGAAGTAAAGAAGCAGGAGTAGAAAGGACGAAGACAAATAAGCCTAGAAGCTAGTGAACATGGATGTAAACAATGTTAGACTTGAAATGTGTGCTGGCTCATTTGCGAGACCTCAAAGACACCCACACTGTGTTGTGGTGAGAAACCTTGGATGCACTCCTAACATTGTCAAGACAACTCAACGGGGTACCTTTAAGATTAGATACTGATGCGTAAAAGATGGTATTGCAGTGTACTGCTTTTATATCAAAATAAATCATATTTGATTTAAATCTTTGGCACACTCCCATAGATCTGATCACAGTAATAAATAACATTTATTCATTAAAAAAAACAAATAAATATCAATAACTTAATATATTCAAGATTTCATAAATACATCTCATATGTGTGACGTTTTGTGTAACTTATGTGCTGTACAGTAGACAGAGTGAGTTGGCTGAATGTGTGACTGTGACTGAGTATAGATGGGAATATCAAATCCCACATAGCCAAGCTGTAGGCAGTAAAGGAAGTCATAGAAGCTGTAACCGTGCCGAGGTAACTCTTAAAAGTAATTTCTCTGGGGTGAAAACTTGTGTAATGCCACTTCCTGTTTATTTACTCCTATACTGCTAAATCCAAGTCATAAATCACCACATGCCAAAAAGCTTCCGTGAGTGAAATCAAAACAAAAGAAAAAAACACTTAACATTATACCACTATAGAGTGGGAGTATAAAAAGTTAAAATTACACAAAGCCTGACAAGTTGCACTCCCTATACGCAGCCGCATCTTCTGGCGGAGTGCTTCCTCACGGTGTGGTAAACCAGGCTGTCGTCCAGAAACGAGAGATCGTCGTCGAACGCAATTGGCCGACAGCAAGCCTGAGGGGGCACGTCTTTGGCGGGAAGCCTCCTGTTGTGAATGAGGTTGTAAAGGATTTTGTCGTAGTTTGTCTCTGACTTTCTGCACGGTCCTGAGCAGTACCTGAATATCATTTCCTCACTGGAGCGGTAGCCCAGACCGAGGTCAGACACGTTGAGGTGGATCTGTTTTAGCACGCAGCCCTGTCCTCTACCACCGCCTCTAATCTTCCCACCTGCGCCAGCACCTCTAGATCCTCCTTCTCTTCTGTTACTGTTTCGCTGGCTTGTCCTTTTCCTCTTTCCCCTTCTATGTCGGGTCCTGCTGTCAAAGTTATCTTTGGAGGGTGAAGAGATGGGGACGGCAGCGGGGGTGGTGCTGGTGGTGGAGGTAGATGAGGACACAGTGAGCGAGGAGGAGCGACGCATTCTACTGATGGTTACTTTGATGAAGTTCACCACATCTTCAAACTCATTTGGGAGGGGCTCCTCAGTGGTGTCTGAAACCAATTAAGAGACATGTATAAGGCTCGACAGAACACACTGTTTCACTTCTACACACCCCACTGGTTATTGAACACATGCAGTGCTGTGTCACTAAACTACACATGCACATCTTTAAATGATACAGAGGTCTCTTCTGTGGAGGAAATACTGATGTGGTGGATTTATGTGTCTTACCAATGAGTCCCATTGTCACCAGACGCTTTTATGTTTAAGTGGAATTAAACAATGAAGACAACACAGCTACTATAGCCTCGTGGCACAAGTTACTAGATGGAAAATGAATTCCTAATTATTACCACTTGAAGTTATTCTTCTGAGTGGAAAAAAGAGAGGCATTCATCCGCCAATAAACTGAGTATGATGAGACGTGTAACTGCAAAGGTTTTAAGACCATGATCAATCTGAATCAAATATCGTTCAGCATAAAATTAAAGAAATTTTAAGTATAAGCAACTTAACTGGTGACCACTTACACATGTTTTCTATTTGTTGTTAGGTTTGCCAATTTTTGCTTTTTTTTTCTCTTTCTGGTGGACACATCACCATCACATCTTTAAGCAATTCACACAAATCTCATTGCAAATGACTTATCGGGTTTGCGCACTTTCGCCACCCTCACATTTGTCTCCTCCAGCCAGCGTTTCGTCCCTGTTTGCGGTATCCGCGCGGCTCATGCTCGTGGAAGAAATAGACAGGCCGATCTGAACGGGCGGGAGCTCGGGGGGACTCTCGGCGACGCGCCCTCTCCTCTTGGTGGACGTGGGCTGCTGCGGGCTCTGGAGCAGCGGGCTGGCGTAAACGGCACACAGCAGTATCAAACAAGTGGTTAGACTATCCCATAACTTCATTGTCCACTTCAGTCCGACAGCAGGACATGGCGTGATGCAAAATCAACAGGTATCATCTGGCAAAAGCGCTCCACGGACGTGTAATAGTTAGACTCATCAGAGCTACTGCCAGTCCAAATGGTGGTGATCGACCGTGCGCACTGCAAACTGCACGCAATCACTCACATGCCAGCTGGACAGCGAAACGCAATGTGGCGCAACATTCAGGGCACAGACGCGCAAACGCAAATCAGCGGCTCCTCTCTGAAGTTGAGTCCAAAACGGGTCCAACAAGACTTTAACGATGAAAACCTTTTTTTTCCAGTCCTTCACTGTTTTCATTCAACACAGTTCCTGTTGCTGACTTCGGGCCATCTCTCTCACCATCAATCCTGACTGAGCTGCGAGGAAAAGCGAGAGAGCTGGGGAGTGCTGGTGACGTGCGACGGTCCATCCTCTGCTTCTTCCTGTCTCCACCCCATGCATGGGAACTATGCAGAAGGATGGAGGCCACAGACAAGACAGAAGCTGAAGTGTGGAGTTGGTGAGAGTTAAAGAGTTATATCACCAAGGAAATCCAGAAATGTGCCTCAGATGGGAGGGAGAAGTTCCATTCTTTCCGAACCAGAATCCCCATCCTGCTTTTCGACTTGGGTTGATATTGGACGAAAAACATTTTTCCAATTAGCCAGTCAAAACAGATCGAATAGATTGTGTCGCTCCTGATGAAGACCATGTGCTTGAAATCCCACAGTTCTCCACTTAATGTACTTCAGTGCCATTTAATTTCTAGAAGTTGATGTGACAACCCTTAGGCCAAGTATAACTGCGCCAGTAATTTCTTGTGTAAACCATTTTCTCTCCCACATTAAGAGCTAAAATAAGTCATTTTTAATCACGTTATGTCCGAGGAAAACTGTAGATTTCTCTTCCCATTTGTTCCTTTGTTGGTTTGTTTAAGGCAGATATTAAGAACTAATGGTCCAGTAGTCCAAAAGAACAGTTAAAAACAAATTGTCAAACATGTACGATGAGTAATTTTGTTTATAATTAATACAGACATGTGTGGATAAGCTAAGTGAGTGGAGTAAGTGGGTCAGGTTGCCTCCTCCACACTTCAGTGAAAATGCGGATAACAGAAAGTCGGTTTTCATATCTGTTAGCTTGTTAGCTTATCCTTTTGAACATTATTATTAAATGCATAAGGAACAGGGAGTTGATGAAAATCAGAATGATATCCAGTGACTTGATCTGAGGGCTTTATATGTGACGTGAAACACTCAGTGAAGCACTCAGACAGCTGTGATGCTTAAAAGCTCTTTAGTAAGGATAAATGTATAACGTAAACTGCATTTTCTTATATGATTCAAAGTCCAGATTGAAAAAAAAAAATAATATGAAAATTATAATGGGGTTAATAAATGCTTTAGTTCGGATTCAAACAGCAATCCTTTGGCTCAAGTAACCTTAGAGGGTGTGTGTTTTATTGTCAGGGCTTACATTTTAAAACAAATCTGCTTTGTTTCTAAATAAATATATAATATTTTTTTTTTTTTATTTATATAGCACCTTTCAAGACAGAATCACAAAGTGCTGCACATAAGATTACAAGTCACAAAAAGATTTAAAAAGAGAAAATAAAACAGGCAAAAAATTAACCAAAGCAGTTTTAAAAAAGTGAGTTTTGAGTTGTTTTTTAAAAACAGCTACTGAGTCCACAGTTCTTAATGTTTGGGGGAGAGAGTTCCACAGTCTCGGGGCCACAGTGGCAAAAGCTCTATCACCCTTAGTCCTTCTCTAAGTATTTTTTAAAGCAAGTAAGCCCTGATCAGATGACCTCAAAGACCTGCTAGACAGGTCTTCTTCACTATTATGCATAAGAACATGATTGTTCAGTTTCTCAGGTTTTTTAAAAAAAATAATCATTGCAGATAAATTGTAATCCCCTGGTTTGGTACACACAAGGCTTTTCCAAAAGAACATCTTTCCATTTCCTCCATCGCAGGTAGGCCTTATATTTTACAGCGGCCCATGAACAAGGCTGATGTGAAATACACTTATCCGAAGCAGCATATGCAGATGTGTAAACATGCATACGGGTCCGTGCACCCTTGAACTGTAGTGTTTCGTGATGAATCATGTCTGTGTCAGTGTATGCCTGCGACAGCCACATTGTATTGTAATCACTTGACTACAGTGAACATGCAAAAGCGATTTGAGCATCTGAGTATGCAGTAACTGTAAAGTCATGCACAATAACAGTCTTCTTCCACTCGTGTTTTTAGAAGTTAGCCTACTAATTACTCAGAAGAGGCTTCCCTTTCCACTGACTTGCTCACTTAAATACCCTGTTCTCAAGCAATTACGCTCGTGCCAAGCAACAAATACATCAAACAGATGTTCATTTCCCTTCTTGAAAGGCATGGGGGCTGCTTGGGAGCTGCTCTGTACTCAAATCTGTCAGTCATTTTGAGAGTTTAGTTCGACTCACATGCAATAAGCTAATTGTGCCGTGTTATTCCACCCATCATTGCTGGCCGAGGTGAAACTGAGGCCCCAAAATGGCTCGTGATAGCAAAATTTGGTTTTAAGTAAGAAGATATTATATTAATGTACTTAGATTTAAAACTTTAAGAAAAGACTGGGTAATATACTGGATAAAGGCATGTGTTGCCGTCTTAATGACCATTGTTTTCATCTCAGTTTAGTTGTATTAGTTGAACTAATTCATGTCTCCTATATCAGTTTCTCTTCACAGGTTCCCTGTTGAATCCAGAATTTAATTTAAAATCCTTCTCTTCACATACAAATCTCATCTTAAAGACCTCATAGTATCATATCGCCCTAAGAGAGCCTGCAGCTTGCTTGTGGTTCCTTTGATATTTCAAAGTACAATAGGAGGTAGAGCCTTCAGCTTTCAGGCCACTCTTCCGTGGAACCAGCTCCCAGTTTGGAACTGGGAGATGGATACCTCTCTGCTTTTAAGATTAGACTTAAAACACCGATAAAGCATCTAGTTAGGGCCAGATCAGATGACTTTCTAACACAATAGGTCTTTCATCCTGTCTCTCTCCCCTCATCCCCAAACAATCTGCTGGAGGTTTCTTCCTGTTTCTTCCTGTTTAAAGGGAGTTTTTCTTTCCCACTGCCACCAAGTCCTTGCTCATAGGAGTCATTTGATTGTGGGGGTTTCCTCTTTACCTTACAATATAAAGCACTCTGAGCTGACAGTTGTTGTGATTTTTTGCTATATAAATATAATTGAATTGAAAACAATATTGACTTACATCCCATTTAATGAAATACATGGTCAGAATAATCATTACATGTAATATTGTTTAATACAAAGTTGGACAGCACATATGAAAAAAATTATAATGATCCCACTTTTGCTATGACAGACTGATGGAGTTCATCATGGAAAGAGTAAGTTATGCGTAGTAAATATTCATAGCAGTACTTACTGTACAAACTGTTGCAGAAACAAGAATGGTAATAATTTTATGTTCAAAAGTCCATCCATCCATCCATCCATCCATCCATCCATCCATCCATCCATCTATCTTCTTCTGCTTATCCTCCTCCTAGGGCCTCCTCCGGGTGGGACAAACCCTGAACACCTCACCAAGGAGGCATCCTTATCAGATGCCTGAACCACCTCACCTGGCTCCTTTTGATGTGGACGAGCAGCGGCTCAACTCTGAGCCCCAGATGGCTAAACTCCTCACCCTATCTCTAAGGGAGAAAGCAGTCAAACCTCGGGAAAAGCTCATTTTCACTGCTTGTATCCGCAATCTCTTCTGCCCAAAGTTCCTGACCACCGCTGAAAGTGGGGAAGTAGACTGACCAGTAAATTGAGAGCTTTGCTTTTACACTCAGCTCTCTCTTCACCACGATGAACCGCTATAGCATCCACATCACTGCAGCTACTGCACCAATCTGTCTGTTTGTGAACAAGACCCCGAGCTATTTAAACTTCTCCACTTGGGGCAGGAACTTGTCACTGATACAGAGTGGGCACTACACCTTTTCCAGCTGAGGGCCACGGCCTCAGACTTGGAGGTGCTGATTGTCATTCCTGCTGTTTTACACTCAGCTGTGAACTGCTCCAGTGTGGGGAGGAGGCTGTTACCAGATGAAGCCAGAGATGAGTGTCTGAGACCACCTAAGTGAAAGCCTTTTGCCAATTGGCTATGATAAAAATTATGAAGAGATTGGTGACAAAAGGCAGCCCTGGCGGAGTCCAACACCTATCGGAAATGAGTCAGACTTATTGCCCTGTGGACTAAGCTCTTGCAAAGGTTGTATGAGGATTGTATGGCCCGTAGCAACAGGCCAGACACCCCATACTCCTAAAGCTCCTCTGACAGAACACCCAGAGGGACACGGTCGAATGCCTTGTCCAAGTATCTCCAAATATAGACTGATATATGTAAGCTTGTTTCTGTCTCAAAAGAAGAAAACAGGCCATGCATAAGTCAAAATTTTACGTTGTCTTAAAATTTCAAGTTATTTTCTTAATTTTGGGTCATTTTCTTAGGAATTGAGTGAGTAAGTTGAAACTGAGATCCCTAACTCTACTTTCTTTTTTAGGCAATTTACTTTACAGATTTAGGATACATGCTGGTGCAGAATCATTATTTAATTAGAGAATTATTATCTCTAAGATTGACAGGAGGTGGACAGGAAGTTGTCCTTCAGTCCGTTTTTATGTATTTACAAGTAGTTTATTCTCCCACTTAAACAAAAGTTGTTTTTTTTTTTGCTATAGCAGAGTTCTGTATCTTGTAACAAATACAAGATACTATTTGGTTATGTGTAAACATAACCAAATAGTTTTTAGTGCCTAGACCTAAACAAGCAATGCGTAAAAAATAAATTAAAAAAAACAAACCCAAACCTTCAAGTGAAAAGCAAAAAAAGCACAATGCCCCCAAAACAGCTGACAAACAAACTCTACTAGGACCTCTAAGATCTCCTAACACTGACTTTTTAGATATTTGAAGGAGCTCTGCTGTCAC